CCCCCCCCCCCCCTCCAACACCCGAATCTAGAAACACGCTGACCAGCCAACCCAAGACAAAGCCACCATAACACCCCCAGCTTCCCAAACGTGTGAAGCACTGTCCGTATCACAGGGCCAGAAACCATTCATTCATGAAGTCATGGAGGGCAGAGTACAACTTACCTAAGACGGAATAGTCCTCCACCAAGATCGTATGTGTGTGTGTGTGTCTGTATCTGTGTGTGTGTGTGTGTGTGTCTGTATCTGTGTATGTGTCTGTGTGTGTCTGTCTGTGTGTGTGTACGTCCGTGTGGCTTCTCCACATCAGCGCCTTGAGTTCAAGCGCTCAGTAGCGCAACACAAATTCCTGTCCGTGTGTCTGTGTATCTGTATGTCCGTGTGTCTGTGTCTGTGCGTGTGTATGTCCGTGTGTTTGAGTATGTATATGTCTGTGTATGTGTCCGTGTCAGTGTATGTCCGTGTGTCTGTGTCTGTGTCTGTGGCTGTGTATGTGTATGTGTATGTCCGTGTGTCCGTCCGTGTGTGTGTGACATGTATGTGTGTTTATGTATGTCCGTGTGTCTATGTATGTATGTGTGTATGTAAGTGTGTCTGTGTATGTCCGTGTGCCTGTGTATGTCCGTGTACCTGTGTATGTCCGTGTGTCACAGAAAGTCACGGAATGTCACAAACACGGGAAGTACGATAGTCACTTTCCGTCACCACCGCAGACGTCATGAGTGTATTTTAGTTTGGAGTGTGCATGCTATAGGGAGAAGAAAACAAACAGAGGGAGAGCAGGACATGGGATATAGGAGCAAGAGAGTGAGGGCATGCTTGAGTTTCAAGGTACGCAGGCAACGATACCTTCCTCGACGAAAGCAACGACGTACACTGTAGACTGAATGTTTGGGAAGATGCAGATTTTGGTTCGACAATTCTGCTTCGGTGGTTCAACCATGCGGCGCATATGACAACACAAACAGACAGAGAATTAGTGAACAATGTGTCATACACACTCACACAAACTCTACGACACACACAGACTCTCGGTCATTGATGTGTTATGAGCATGATTGTCCGCTGCAATTTTGCCAACCCTCACTCACATAGACTCTCGTACACGCCCATACATGCAGAGAAGGAAGGGGAGAGGAAGTAGAGTGCCACAACGCGGAGAAAAGAAAACGCAGTGGAAGACTCACAGAAGTAAAGAGACAGAATACACAGTACAGAGGATTCTCTCTACATATGCATTGAGCCTTCCCCGCTGCACTTACGATAGAGTGCACATGTCACCTTGCATTGTCATACATGGCGCAGTCTGACATTAAGCACAATGACGTCACCACCATCAGACTCCACAAAAGGAGTAGATGTCGTTGACCACCAAACAGAATCAAACATTATAACCAGTATCCAATAAGAGAGTCAAGAGTTTCTGGATTCAACGCTCAACAAAGTATCATGTCCCCTTCGTTACCAGAAGTTATCTGCTCGGCGCTGTCTGCGCTCATCATCAACGACACGAATTGCGAAGTCCAGGTAAGAACAAGTCCTCTCCACATATTCTCTCTGCTGTGTATCTCACAATGGCAGAAGTCTTCACACCATYRSRCGCAAGTGWGTTCACARCATGCATCGTCAACAACCAGAATGAGCACACRTCTTCACACCATAGACAAGGATAGAGAAGAAGAGAACAGAGTTGCGCAACTTATTTTATCAATATCATGATTACAAAGAGTGTTCAAGTCCCCTGAGTT